TTTGTGTTCTATCTGTCAGGAAGTTGTATATCCATCTACCAACTTTTCCCGTTATTCCTTTATCACGCATTTTGTGCTATTACACCTTGGTCACACTTGTCGAAAGCTTTTGCAAAGCCTGTGTATACTACATCTGTATTTTGTTTATCCTCTACAGCATCCAGGACCTTGTCATAGTGGTCCAGTAGCTGGGACAGGCAGGAGCGGCCTGCTCTAAACCCGTGTTGTCCTGGGTTGTGTAGCTGATGGGAATCAGGTTGTTGGCTATCTTGCTTCTTTGAACCCTCTCAAAGATTTTTATGATATGGGATGTTAGTGCTATCGGTCTGTAGTTCTTTGCATTTGCTTTACTGCCACCTTTGTGGAGTGGGGCTATGTCTGTTGTTTTTAGTGTGTGTGGGACGACCCGTATCCATGCTTCCTCTCCATAAAATGCTGAAGGCAATTTTTGATGAACACGGAGTTGCACGAGTCTGGGCCTGGGGCAGAAATACGCCTTATGATTATTGTTTCTACCCTGACTGGGAATCGAACTCAGACCCTCGCCGTGTGAAGCGAGAGCTTTAACCACCAGAGTTTCATAGATATACAGTGGACCCTCGAATTTAGTCCTGCCTCTGTATGCAAAACTATTTTTATTATCTATAAAATGTATTTTTTGTTAATATTTTTGGGTGTCTGGAATGGTTTAATTGGATTTACATTATTTCCTATGGGAAATATTAACACGAAACTAATGTGGCATTTTGTTGTGGCAATGTTTCATTTTCCAGTTTTGTCCAGCTCCTGAGTCTCACATTAGCACCAGATAAATAGTTGGGGTTGTAGCCAGCAACAGCTTTGAGAGCATTTAGCCTATCTTTGCATTTCTTATTTAGTTGTGGTATAGTGGATTTATTAAAGGGTACATCTACACCAAGGTATCTGTAAGTTTTAACGTAGCTAATGTTTTCACCCTGCAAACAGGTGGGTAGGGGATGTCGTTTGCTTATTAATAACTTTGTTTTAGAGGAAAATATTATGAGGCCTAGTCGATTACAAATTGCTTGAACTTCATTAAGAATGGTGCTCATCTTCCTATGCCCTGTTGTATGGATCATGATGTCATCAGCATAGTGTATAGCTATATGTTTAGGTGAGGCAGGTAGAGCATTTAGGAGAGCATTAATCAGATCATTAAATAGCATGGGACTGAGAACTCCTCCCTGCGGTGTACCTAGGGACATTTCTTTAGACTCGCTTCTAAAACCTTGGTAGAGGACAGAGGATACTCTATTTGACAGGTATCCTATTATCCAGCAGAGTAGGCTAAACACATAAGGAAGGAGGAATACTGCAGCAGGCCTACAGGCCCATACAAGGCAGGTTTTTCTCTGAACCAACCATTCCCAACCACCCACTTGTCCAGCCTTTTTCCAAAGCTACCTAAGAATTAGCTTCAATACCTCAGGTATTAATCAGTCCCTCAGCTCGTATGACCCTTAAGGGTTTAGCGCTTCGTTATGCTTATAATAATAATTAATTAATCCAGAGGTACATAATGGGTCCAGGGACTGGGCCCCAAAGTTTTGATAGTTGAGCAAGTTACAAAGGTAATTCAAATTCAAATTCAAATTCAAAGTTTATTCTATATAAGGATTACAATGCACACATAAGGGGGATTACCAACAGACCCCTGGCAGTCTTCAAGCTGGCACTGGACAAGCACCTAAAGTCAGTTCCTGATCAGCCGGGCTGTGGCTCGTACGTTGGTTTGCGTGCAGCCAGCAGCAACAGCCTGGTTGATCAGGCGCTGATCCACCAGGAGGCCTGGTCACAGACCGGGCTGCGGGGGCGTTGACCCCCGAAACTCTCTCCAGGTAAACTCCAGGTAAGACACATATGCAACAGTTAGGTATCTTTATTTCGAAACGTTTCGCCTACACAGTAGACTTCTTCAGTCGAGTACAGAAAAGTTGATAGAAGCAGAAGATACTTGAAGACGATGTAATCAGTCCATCACCCTTAAAGTTTTGAGGTGGTTAGTCCCTCAGTCTGGAGAAGAGCATTGTTCCATAGTCTGAAACAATATTGTTTCAGACTATGAAACAATATTGTTTCAGACTATGGAACAATATTGTTTCAGACTATGAAACAATATTGTTTCAGACTATGGAACAATACTCTTCTCCAGACTGAGGGACTGACCACCTCAAAACTTTAAGGGTGATGCATTGATTACATCGTCTTCACGTTTCGAAATAAAGATACCTAACTGTTGCATATTTGTCTTACCTAACAACCTGTCGGTATTTTATACCATTGTAATGTTCAATGCTGAGTTTACAGAATTTGGTTATTGTGTGGTTTACATGTAGTAAAATACTAATTACAGAGGTTGCCACTATAACACCTAGCATGGCTAGGCATTTCAGGCAGACTTAGATTAATTCTTAACTTTAAAATATTACAAATTATGAGGTAAGTTGGTGTTATGGCTAAGTGACTAAATACTAGTTTGTGAGTTTAGCAATGTGAATGCTCTTGTTTTGGCACAATACATAGTTTCAGTATTGGAGTATCACAGGCCAACTAATGACTAGTTAGGATTCATTATTTTAAGATTGAGATTGATATTTCAGTTTATGGTCAAATGGGTGAGTGAGTGTAAGTGTGAACCACCAGGTGGTATTCGTGTAATTAGTTGATGGGATGTATTAAGGAGATAAGATGTTTTCTAATGGTAGTTTTGAAGGTGATGAATGTGCAGTTTTAGAATTTTCAGGTAGTGTGTTCCAGATTTTAGGGCCTTTGATATACATTGAATTTTTGTAAAGGTTTAATCGGACACGGGGAATGTCATAGAGATGTTTGTGTCTGGTGTTATGCCTGTGGATCCTGTCACAACTATCAAGAAAGTGTTTTAGGTCAAGGTTAATATTGGAATTTAAGGTCCTGTAGATGTAGATTGCACAGTAGTAAGTGTGGATGTTCTGAACAGGGAGTAAGTTTAGATCTAGAATATCCACTAGGAATTTTTATTGACCTAAGAAAAGCTTTTGACACAGTAAACCACCAAATCCTACTCCACAAACTTGACCACTACGGTATAAGAGGCCATGCGCTTGCTTATTTCAAATCTTACATTACTAATAGGTATCAGTACGTCACCATTAAAGACACAGCATCAGCAACACGGCCAGTTGATACTGGAGTTCCGCAGGGAAGTGTCCTTGGTGCCCTGCTCTTCCTCATATACATCAATGACCTTCCAAACGTATCCCAACACCTGAAACCCATTCTCTTTGCTGATGACACGACTTATGTCATCCCCTCACCCTAATCTTGCCACCCTCAAAACCATTGTGAATGAGGAGCTGATTAAAATATCGACTTGGATGACAGCCAATAAACTTACGCTTAACACTGACAAAACCTACTTATTATGTTTGGTAGCAGAGCAGGAGATGCACAAATTAACTTTAAAGATTGACAACACTTAATTACCAGAAATAATGGGGGAAAATTCCTAGGCTTATACCTTGAAACAACCTGAATTTCGCACCCATATCCAGATTATAGCCAAAAAAGTTTTCCAAAACGGTTGGGGATCCTCTCCAAGATACGATACTACGTGCCGCAAAATGCCCTTTCTCACACTTTTACCACTCACTTATTTATCCATTACTCACCTATGCTATTTGTGCTTGGGGTTTCAACTGCAGCAACACACCTAAAGCCAATAATAACCCAACAAAAAGCTGCAGTAAGAATAATCACTAAACCCACCCCTGGCAGCCACCCCCCATCTTCAAAGATCTAAACTTACTCCCAGTTCAGTACATCCACACTTACTACTGTGCAATCTATATCTACAGGGCCTTAAACTCTAATATAAACCTTGACCAAAAATGCTTTCTTGATAGTTGTGACAAAACCCCACAGGCTAACACCAGACACAAAAATCTCTACGACATTCCCCGTGTCCGACTAAACCTTTACAAAAATTCAATGTATGGTCAAAGGCCCTAAAATCTGGAATACCCTACCTGAGAACTCTAGAACTTGGCAGACACATTCATCACCTTTCAAACTTACCATTAGAAAAAACATCTTATCTCCCTGATACACCCCATCAACAAATCTACACGAATACCACCTGGTGGTTCACACTTACACTCGTTTCACTCATTTGACCATAAACAGAAATATTAATCTCAGTCTTAAAATAATGAACCCTGTGATACTCCAATACTGAAACTTTATTTCTGTGCCAAAACAAAAGCATTCACATTGCTAAACTCATAAACTAGTATTTTAAATCATTAGCCATTTAAGACCAACTTACATCATAATTTGTAATATTTTACAATTAAGATAAATAACTAGTATGCCCGAAATGCCTAGCCATGCTAAGCGTTCTAGTGGTACACTCTGTAATCACAATTTTACTACATGTAAACCAAACAATAACCAAATTTCTGTAAACTCAGCATTGTAATCCTTATAGAGAATAAACTTTGAATTTGAATTGAATTTGAATTTGAATATGAAGAGTGGGGGGGTGTTGCCAGGGATGGGATTTAGTGATTATTCTTACTGCGGCTTTTTGTTGGGTTATTATTGGCTTTAGGTGTGTTGCTGCAGTTGATCCCCAAGCACAAATAGCATAGGTGAGGTATGGATAAATAAGTGAATGGTATAGTGTGAGAAGGGCAGTTTGCGGCACGTAGTATCGTATCTTGGAGAGGATCCCAACCGTTTTGGATACTTTTTTGGTTATGTGTTGGATATGGGTGCTGAAATTCAGGTTGTTGTCGAGGTATAGGCCAAGGAATTTGCCCTCATTATGTTTGGCAATTAGAGTGTTGTCGATCTTAATGTTAATTTGTGCATCTCCTGCTCTGCTACCAAACATAATATAGTAGGTTTTGTCAGTGTTAAGCGTAAGTTTATTGGCTGTCATCCAAGTCGATATTTTGATCAGCTCCTCGTTAACAATGTGTTTGAGGGTGGCAAGATTAGGGTGAGAGATGACATAAGTCGTGTCGTCAGCAAAGAGAATGGGTTTCAGGTGTTGGGATACGTTTGGAAGATCATTGATGTATATGAGGAAGAGCAGGGCACCAAGGACACTTCCCTGCGGAACTCCAGTATCAAGTGGCCGTGTATTTGATGCTGTGTCTTTAATGGTGACATACTGATGCCTATTAGTAAGGTAAGATTTGAAATATGCAAGCGCATGGCCTCTTATACCATAATGGTCAAGTTTGTGGAGTAGGATGTCGTGGTCTACTGTGTCAAAAGCTTTTCTTAGGTCAATAAAAACTCCAGGTAGATCTGGTCACAATCATGACAAGTTACGAAGGTATGGACGGGTGTGGACGTGTGAATTGCTCATTACTCTATAATTTGTCCATTATTGTAACCATGTATAAGCGTAAGTAAATTTACTTACATGATTCTTTACCTTTGTAACTTGTGACAAGTTCAATTACCTTTGTACCTAGTTCAGCTGTCAAAACTTTGGGAGCCCAGTCCCTGGGCCCATTATGTACCTCTGTACATTAGACATGGTAATAAAATGACACGTCTTTGGTAAGTTGGAGAGAGTCTGGACGTGGTGACAGCAACCAACCTCAGTGGACACAGTGCGATGATTGTGGTTTCATCATTTTATACTGAGCAGTAAACTTCAGCAATGGTACCAAGCTATTCAGTCTGGCCACAGACAAAGCATCATCCACATATTTGTACCATCTAGCATCAGTAGGTAAAGCAGCCCTAAAGAGTTTCATTTCCAAGAGCATATACAAATTGCTGAGAATTGAGGTAATTTCTCATTACCATACCTGGACAGGGTTTCGAGGGTCGACGCCCCCTGTGGTCTGGTTTGAGACCAGGCCTCATGGTGGATCAGGGTCTGATCAACCAGGCTGTTGCTGCTGGCCACACACAAACTGATGTATGAACCACAGCCCGGATGGTCAGGTACTGACTTAAGATGCCTGTCCAGTGCCTTCTTGAAGACAGCCAGGGGTCTATTGGTACCCCATATGTATGATGGGAGGCAGTTGAACAATCTTGGGCCCCTGACACTTATTGTGTTGTCTCTGAGTGTACTGGTGACACCCCTGCTTTTCACTGGGGAGTGATTTTCATGTGCAAGTTTGGTACTAATCCCTTTAGGATTTTCCAAGTGTATATTGTCATGTATCTCTCTCACCTGCATTAAGAGGAATACAAATCAAAGGACTTAAACCGTTTCCAGTAATTTAGGTGCTTTATCATACTTGTCTGTGCCGTGAAAGTTCTTTGTACACTCTCCAGGTCAGCAATTTTGCCTGCCTTGAAGGGGGCAGTTAGTGTACAGTAGTATTCCAGCTTGGCATCACTGGTTTTGAAGGTTCTCATTATCCATCCTATTATTTTTCTAGCAGATGTTTTTGTGCACAGAAACTGTCAATGAAGACAAATTTGCAGCTTTACAAGTTCAGTGATCCATGTTTTTCCAATTCATGTTTCCTAAGGTTTAACAGATCCATTACTGGCACCTTAAGAAACAGCACCATGGCAGTAAAAATAAATACAGAGGCTTAAAACCTTTAGTTATGTTTAATAAAAGAAATTTCTTGGTTAAATCTGTGCTGTTATTTGTATGCCAGATCGACACTTTACTCACAACTGGGGACAGTTTATAACTTGAGGCTCAAAAGAAATGATAATTGTCCTAGCTGGATTACTTTGTGGTTCATGATATAATGCAGGCAATAAATCTGTATGTAACAGCTCAGAGGCTTAACAAAGCAAAGGTGAAATATAGTACAAAAGTAAAGGGGGATTAATAATAGTATCCTAGATCACAGTGACAGGTATCACTTTATCAGGTGAGAGAAGCAGCACTGTACCAACAGTGACAGGTAGTGCTATATAAAAGTTGGCAGAGAACACTGTGTTAGGTGGCAGGTAGCACTGTGTTAGGGATGGCAGGTAGTATTAATTCAGGGATAATAATAATAATAATGCAGTATTTATTTCCAGTAAATTTAGTATAAAATTTTTGTAGGAATTGGTGACAAATTATACAGATTTAATGGAAAGCCCATTGCTGTGCAGTGTGTTCAGGACTATCTTAAAATTATCTTAAAATTAGTGGTGGCTAAAGCTCCCGCTTCACACACGGAGAGTCCGGGTTCGATTCCCGGCGGGTGGAAACATTTTGATGCATTTCCTTACACCTGTTGTCCTGTTCACCTAGCAGCAAATAGGTACCTGGGTGTTAGTCGACTGGTGTGGGTCGCATCCTGGGGGACAAGATTGAGGACCCCAATGGAAATAAGTTAGACAGTCCTCCATGATGCACTGACTTTCTTGGGTTATCCTCGGTGGCTAACCCTCAGGGGTTAAAAATCCGAATGAAATCTTATCTTAAAACTAGAGCACAATGTTTTATTGCATGAGTTTATTAGAATTACTACACTATATAATTTATTACATGGTAACATTTTATATAACACACTAGTATAGCAATTGTTATAGTTAACATTGAAATAGAGTGAAAATTTGGTTATAACATACTGTATTAAAATATAGTTGTGAAAGTTGGCATTGGGTATGAATGCTGATTAGATCTAGACAGACATCTGCTGAAGAGGATCCCAGATGAAGGTCAAAATATTCAGATCAAGCAGTCTCCTCAGTTTCTGTCTCCATGTGGGTTATTATTGAGCCTAGACTGACTAGGTTGCTTCTGATGTATTGAACAATAAAATATTTAATCTGCAAAATTTATGTTATACTGTTAAGGTATTTTTTCACAATATTTTTGAACCAGTTTGCAGGTAGGGATCTTTCAGCATCATTTGGCAAATAGTTCCAGATTTTAGGGTCTTCAATTTCCATGGAGTTTTTTACTTGTATCAAAGAAATGCTTGTTTCTAGTACAGGCATACCTCTCTGATAGGGCGGGTTAGGTTCCAGACCGCCACCATAAAGTAAAGACAGCCTCTCCTCATTTAATGACGGAGTTCCATTCTTAAGACCATGTCAGTAAACGAAGTCGTCACTAAGTGAAGAGCATACTATAATGACAATGGGTTTGTGTCAACAATCTTTGATATTGTTTTAATTTTACCTTTGTACCATTTATAGTATTTCTGGTATGCAGTGGTCCCCCGCTTTTTGTAGTTCCCGGCAATCGTAAATTTCGCCAATCATAGGGGTATTTTCGTATAAACATGGACTCGCTTTTCATAGGTTGACTCGCGAGTCATAGTTCGTCCGGGACACGTACTCATGGCGTGAGCCGTGGCGGCAGCCAGTCTGGCATTGTTTACCAGTGAGCGAAGGTCCCCTCACGTGCTCCAGCGAAATATTTCATAATATTCCATTTATTTTAGTGCTTGCAAGTACAGTGGACCCCTGGTTAACGATATTTTTTCACTCCAGAAGTACGTTCAGGTGCCAGTACTGACCGAATTTGTTCCCGTAAGGAATATTGTGAAGTAGATTAGTCCATTTCAGACCCCCAAACATACAAGTACAAAGGCACTTACATAAATACACTTACATAATTGGTCGCATTCGGAGGTGATCGTTATGCGGGGGTCCACTGTACTAAATAAGCTACCATGGCTCCAAAGAAAGCTCCTAGTGCCAAGCCTGTGGTAAAGAAGGTGAGAAACACGATTGAATTTAAGAAAACCGTCATTGAACAATATGGTACAAGTGTGGCCGAACTGTCCAGGATGTACGTATAAGAAACCCTACACAACCTTATGTTCCATAGTGGCCAAGAAAAAGAAAATCAAGGATGCTGTTGTTGCAAAGGGGGGTAACTATGCTGACAAAAATGAGATCACCAGTACTTGAAGAGGTTGAGGTTGAGGTTTGGATAAATGAGAAACAATTAGCAGGAGATACTCTTATGACTTCGATTATTTGTGAAAAGGCTAGGCAGTTGCATGAAGATTTGGTAAAGAAATTTCCTGCAAATAGTGGTGATGTGGGTGAATTTAGGGCCAGCAAAGGCTGGTTTGAGAGATTTAAGAACTGTACTGGCATACACAGTGTGGTAAGGCATGGTGAGGCTGCCAGTTCGAACCACAAGGAGGCTGAAAAATATGTGCATAAATTCCAGGAGTACATAGAGGCTGAAGGACTGAAACCTGAACAAGTGTTCAATTGTGACGAAACAGGCCTCTTTTGGAAGAAAATGCCAAAGAGGACCTTCATTACACAAGAGGAAAAGTCAATGCCAGGACACAAGTCTATGAAAGACAGACTGACGCTAATGTTCTGTGCTAATGCTAGTGGGGATTTCAAAGTGAAGCCATTACTAGTGTACCATTCTGAAAATTCCAGAGTGTTCAGGAAAAACAATGTTATAAAGAGTAAATTGTGTGTGTTTTGGAAATCTAATAGTAAGGCATGGGTCACGAGGGAAATTTTCGTTGAGTGGTTCAATGAAGTGTTTGGCTCTAGTGTGAAGGAGTATCTCCTGGAAAAGAAATTGGATCTCAAGTGCCTGTTAGTAATGGACAGTGCACCTACTCATCCTCCAAACTTGGATGACCTAATTTTCGAGGAGTTTGGGTTCATCACAGTAAAGTCTCTTGCCCCGAATACCACTCCTCTCTCCTCCAGCCCATGGACCAGCAGGTCATTGCAAACTTTAAAAAACTCTACACAAAAGCAATGTTTCACAGGTGCTTGACTGTGACCACAGACACTCACGTGACCCTAAGGGAATTTTGGAGAGAACACTTCAGCATCCTCCATTGCATAACCCTTATAGGTATGGCTTGAGAGGGAGTGACTACCAGGACTTTGAACTCTGCCTGGAGAAAATTGTGGCCAGATTGTGTCGACAAGAGGGATTTTGAAGGGTTTGGAACTGACCCTAATGAGCCTATGTCTGTTGTAAAATTAATTGTGGCACTGGAGAGTTCCATGGGGTTGGATGTGAGTTTGGAGGATGTGGAAGAATTGGTGGAAGACTACAATGAAGAGCTCACCACTGAGGAGCTGCAAGAGCTTCAGCAGGAAGAGCAACACATCGCAGCTCAGAATCTTGCTGCAGAGGAGGAGGAAGAGAGATGGAAGAAGGTGCCTTCTTCAGAAATTAAAGAGATTTTTACTATGTGGGGTAAGATGGAAAGCTTTATGGAGAAACATCACCCTTACAAGGTTGTTGCAAGCCATATTGGCAACATGTAC